GGAAAGGAGCAAGAGGTCCTGGACTGCGAGAGGGATGGCCCACTGCTGGCTTAGGCCCACTCCCCACCGGCAACCCCTGAGGGTTCCCGGACAGTGAGAGGGCGCAGGCCAGGCTGAGGGACCCCTCCCCACCCCACCCCACCCCCGTGTGAATTTCATGCACCAGGCCTCAGTGTATAATGAAGCAGAGTGCAGAATTTCCATTTTCTGAAGCATTTTCTCAATTCGTTCAGATTTGCTTTCCAGCAATTGTCATTAGTTTGGCTTAAATAAACTCACAAAAATGATATACAGTTTTGAATGTTTCTTATGTTAATAATATTCTAACCAACTGAGCTGTTTGATTAGGGCAAAGCAGGTAACATGGTTTGTATTTATTTATTTATTTATTTTACATGTACTTATTAATTTTTTTAGAGAGAGAGAAAGGGAGAGGGCTAGAGATAGAAACAGTGATGTGGGCCCTGGCTGGTTTGGCTCAGTGGATAGAGCATCGGCCTATGGACTGAAGGGTCCTGGGTTCAATTCAGGTCAAGGGCACATGCCTGGGTTTGGGCTCGATCCCTAGTAAGGGCATGCAGGAGGCAGCCGATCAATGATTTCTCTCTCACTATTAATGTTTCTATCTTTCTCTCCCTCTCCTTTCCTCTCTGAAATCAACAAAAATATATTTTAAAAATAAAAAAATGTTTTAAAAAAGAAACATCTATCGGCTGCCTCCTGCGTGCCCCCAACCAGGATTGAGCCCACAACCAGGGATGTGGCCTGACCAGGAATCAAACCAGTGACCTCTTGGTCCATTGGTTGGTGTTCAACCACGTAGCCACACTGGCTGGGCGGTAACATGGTTTGTAAAGGTCAATCCTGAACTCATGGTTTTCAGTATATTTAGATACAGAAATGAACGTAAACGTGGGGTGTGTGTGCACGTGTGCCTGTCAGGGCATTCCTTGGCTCTGTCCACTGAGAGAGCCTGGAGCAGCACTATCCTCATGGCAATGAGCACAGTGTCCAGCTCTTGGTTTCAAATAACATCCTCTATAAAAAGGAACCAGAGCTCCTCGGAGGAATGGCTGATTCCAGAGCTGATGCAGGGAATGTATAAATTGAACCTGAAACATGTTGCTATGCCAGAAAGAAAATAAAACTAAAAAGGATGAATGCTGAAAGAATATTTGAAGGGGACCAAAGTTTTGCCACCCTGAAGCTGCCTTTTTGGGATATTGATTTTAAGCTGTTTATTATGAAACTAGAGGCCCAGTGCATGAAATTTGTGTGTGGGGGGATGTCCCTCAGCCCAGGCTGCACCCTCTGGCAATCTGGGACCCCTTGGCTAGGGTCCCTAGGCCTGGCCGGTGATCAGGGTCTATCGGGGGTTTTGTCCCCCCAGCTGCTGCCACTGCTTGCCATCTGTGTGGCACTGATCCCCCCTAACCCCCCCCCCCATTGCCTCCCTCTGCAGGCAACAGGCGTGGGGGGCGATTGCTCTTCTGGCCTGGGCCTCCCTCTGCCAGGCGACCACTGGCCTGATAGCTGGCCGGCCACGTACCCCCCACAGCGTCGCTGGCCTGCAATTGATCACCCAGCAGAGGGAGGCCCCGCCCACCTGGCTGGGGCTCCATGATTGAAGCACAGAGGGTAGCCTGGTTCTCCCTCTGCGGCCAATCATGGGGTGCTGGAGGCCCCCCAACCAATTGCATCACACCCACCTTGGCTGGCCTGGAGCCAGTGCGTGTCATAGCGTGGTTGTTGGGAAGATTGTCCAGAAGGTCATTCTGCTGTTTGGTCAGTGGGTTGATTTGCATATTACGCTTTTATTATTATAGATAGAAGATTCAGAAAGAAACTTTGACCATCCTCCCTTTTCCTGCCCCAAAATTTCAGTCAGAAAAACCTACTTCAGGAAGGAAATCTAAGGATGTTCGACTTAACCGAAATAGCCTATCTTGAATTAAGTATGCTAAAGAAGAGGGCTCAGGCAGAGCCTGTCAGACTAGAAATCCCAAGTGCCATTGTTTCTGAGTTGCCCAGCAAGAATTTCCCTGCCAAGTATGTTCTGCTCTTCCTCAAAGCCTGTAAGTCACCCATTCTCACTTCTGAAACCGAAGACCCCGTTTCTCTCCTCCCTTTTCTTCTTTGTCCAACATGTCACATACACCTAATGTTGCTTCACTGTCTGGAATTGTCATGTTTATGTGAATTCCTCATGCACATACATGTATTGAAAATTTTTTTCTTCTCTTGTTAAATCTCTCTGTTAATTTGGTTATTAGCCCAGCTAGAAGAACTTAGAAGGTGGGAGGAAAAGTATTAATTTGTTTTAGCTCCCACGCAGTCATGCTGAAGGATACAGAAGACAACTTGAAAGGACTCCCAGTGACCAAATCAGACAACTCGAGTATCAAAATGAACAATATTAGTCATTGGATAATAATTCACTGAATGTACAGGGACTTTGAGTCCATACTGATGTAATTAAGTAAAATGAAAGCATGATGAGGAATGGACTATTTCATAATCTCAAGGTCTCCCCCCCAGAAAAAAAAACCAAAACTTATTAATTACAAAAAGGAAAGAGTAATGTACAGTAGAGAAACCTGGCAGATGCCTCTTTAACCAAGTAGAGTAAAAGGACATGGGAACAGGCATAGCCTGACAGGACCAAGTAGAAAGAAAACAGCATAATTTCTGTGACTGTCCTGCTGCTGCTGAGTAACCTGAGTGGAATTATAAGGAAGTTTCAGACAAACCCAAAGTAAGGGACATTCTATAAAAAAAATGGACAGTAATCCTCAAAAGGGTTAAGGTCATGAGAGTCAAGAATGAAACCCTGTTGCTGAGTGAAGGAGACTACAGAGACATGACAACTAAATGCAGCGTGTTACTTGGGCTGGATCCTTTTGCTATAAAAGACGTCACTTGGAAAACTGGTGACGCTTAAATGGGGTCTGAGGTTTAGGAATGGTAGAAATGCATCCATGTTCTTTCCCTGGTTTTGATGGCTGTGTGTGGTTAAGTAGGAAAATGTCCTTGTTGGCAGGAAATAGACACTGATGTATCAGGGTAGGGAGGGATGGGCAACATATGGACAACTGACTCTCAAATGGTTGAGGTAAAAAGCTCTTTGTACTATTCATGTAAATTTTCTGTTTGATATGATTTCACAAAAACAGATTTTTTGTGAAAAAGCCCTGGCCAGTGTGATTCAGTTGACTGAACATTGTCCTGTGCACCAAAAGGTTGCTGGTTCGATTCTGGGCCTTGAACATCAATGACAACACTATATTATAACCTGAATAAGAAGATTAACTTAAGTCTCTGTAGGAAAGGTCCAGCAAAGACAAACAGAAGCAGACCACTCTGATTGATGTGTAGAAAATAGGTTATGCCCTAACCAGTTTGGCTCAGAGGATAGAGCATTGGCCTGCAGACTGAAGGGTCCTGGATTCGATTCCGTCAAGGGCATGCACCTTGGTTGTGGGCACATCCCCAGTGGGATGTGTGCAGGAGGCAGCTGATCAATGTTTCTCTCTCATCAATGTTTCTAGCTCTCTGCCCCTCTTCCTCTGCTTCTCCCTTCCTCTCTGTAAAAAATCAATAAAAATATATATATATATTAAAAGAAAACAGGTTGTATGCTCTGAGAGGTATGGCCGATATTCTGAGTATTGGCTCTTTTAAAAACTTGTGATATAAAACCAGTCTCCTTGTGCCTTGATTCTGTGAAGCTGGTGCCCTGAAGACGAGGCATAAATATTTTGGTTATCAAAAGGCATACCACTCATAAGAAATCACTTAATTTCTCTTACAAATTTGATTAGTGCGTCAGTCCAAAGATCTACCCTAAGTCACCTGACAAATTCAAGTTTCCAAGTTTGTGAAGATGAGGACCAACCTGCACGGTGCTGACTACCTTACAAGGACATGAAGACATGGTGCAGCCAACCTCATCCTGATGCTTCCCCATCCTTCAAAGCCTCCTTCCTTCCAGTACCCCAAATGCCCAGCAAAGGGCCTTACACACAGTAGGCACATGGTGCTTGTGGTTAGGATTTAGGATTTGGCACATGGATAGCACCTGTTAGTGGAATTAGGTGACCTTCCCTTTCCCTCATCTCAGACCATCTTTCTAGTTTTATTCCCTATGTTGCATCTACCCCTAAAGGACTCAGTATTCTCTGAACACTCCATGTTCTTTCATATTTGCTTGATATGAATAATGTTCTATTTTTAAAGAGGAAGTTCAAATATTATTTCTTCTCGGAGATCTTTCTTGTCTTTCCGTGCATTCATTTGATCCATTATTCATTCATCTAGTGACTCATTCAACAAATATTGAGCACCTTTATAAGCTGAGCACAACGAGAGGCATTGGAAATGTGATAGTAAGCCACACATAAAGGCTCACCATCCTTTTGGAGGCCCCTCATGGGGGAAGACCGAGTTTAATAAACATAATTTATTTTGTCCACATTCATGAATATACAATTAGCACCTGACATGTTCTAAGGAAGCAAACACTGTTCTTTGAGAGCACATCACCAAGAAATCTATTTAGAGTATGGAGGGTTATGAGTAGAGGGGTTCAAGGAAGGCCCCTCTGAGGAAACGTTTTCTTAGGTGTCTGGAATGGCGCCCCCAAAGCTGGACCCTCACTCCGACCTGCATCGGGGTCCGGGGACCCTCCATGCCGCCAACTACAGTGATAGCCCCAGCCGGAACGGCCGGCCCTGCCTTCACCAGTCCCAGACCTCGCGAGAGTACGAGGTCACCCGTTAAGGCTCAGACTTCCCGGCCTCAGAACGGCCGCCCCTTCCTCCGGGCCCCGCACCCCGCGCTCCGCTCTCGGATTGGCTGGCTGAGCCGCGACGAGCTAGAAAGAGGTTCGACTACTAGTCCTATTTCTGGTCCCGCCCACCGAGCCTGCGGATTGGACGGCTGGGTCTTGCGTCATGCGCCCCCTGGAGCGCGGACGAGCCAATCAGGAGCTCGGCGTATTTTACAAACTGGAGAAGGAGCTGCCCCAGAAGCCAAGTCAGGGAAAAAGCGAAGAAGAGGGGGCGACCCTGAGGGATTCCGGGGAAGCTGTGGCACGGGGATCTTGGAGGTTTTTAAGGAGGAGAGGCAGCTCGGGGTCCTGGGGCGGAAGAATAGGCGCAGGGTGTCTGGAAGGGGAACCCAGAAGTGCCGGCCTTGCAGGCGCCCGGTCTTCTGGGCTCAGGCATTTGAGCGAAGGTGGAAGTATCAGGAGTGTGAGCACCGCACCAGAGCCCATGCTGTCTGATCTTTGATTCCTCGTCCTGCCTTTCTTCCCCATTTCAATTGTAGCCGTCATGGCCACCTTCCAAACCAAGAAGGATCCTCTCCTCCGGGGTGTATCACCCACCCCGAGCAAGATTCCGGTTCGCTCAAAGAGACGCCCGCCTCTCCCCTCACCCAAGCCATGCGACTTGGAGCGGGAGAACCAAGATCCAAAGGTAAGAGGGGCTTGGTGAAGACAATAGCTACAAGGAGGCAGCACGCAGCAGCAATGCACCCCAATGCTGATTTTTTTGTGCCCTTCCCTCCCCCAGAGATTGGAGCAGAAGTCCAGTACTCAACGTCCCCTTGTTGACTCAGCAGGCCACAGGCCAAAAGCCACACATCAAACACAAAAATCAGAGAGATTGGTGGGGAGCACTGTGCTTCGGAAACCATTGGAGGAGCTCAGGCCTAGCCCTAAGGAACAAAGTGTGGGGCCTGGGCCTCCTCCCCAGAAAGGTACTTGTTGGAAACTAGAGCACAGTCTCCTGGTGGGGAGAATGAGATGGGGGTAGTGGAGTTTGGGGGATCTGCACTGCTCCAGTCTCCTGCTATATATATGGAGTCCTTCCTAGTCCCTGCTCCTGGAAAGCTCTTTGCTCTTAGAAACCCTCTCCTTCCTTCAGCAAAATGTCATCTCTTCTGAAGCCTTTTCCAGCTCTCCAGTCACAATCAAGTGCTCTGTGTGCTAATACTTTGCTATACTCTGTTATAACATGTCCATAATTTGTTTTTGGCTTTTGAACTTTAGAGAGAGGAAGGGGAGGAGAGAAAAACATCCATTTGTTGTTCCACTTATTTATGCACTCGGGTTGATTCTTGTCAGCGTCCAGACTGGGGATAGGACCTGAACCTTGCTGTATCGGGATGACACTAACCAACTGAGCTACCCAGCCAGCGCACATGTCCATGCTTTGGCTTGAATCTGTTACCTCTCTATAGTTTGATGATAGCTTTTTGAGAATGGGCTTTGTCTTATTCATCTCTGAGCCTCAAGGATGTCTTACATAAAGTCTGTGAACATTTGGTGAGTTGAGCCCTATCATATGAGTCTCTGACTTACTGCTGCACCTCCAGGTGGCTACACTAGGGTGTCTGGCCCCTCTTAGCTTTCCCTCTTCCTTTCCCATGTCACCTTTCATTCTCTCCCTTTACAGAGATTCCAGGGGCCATAGAGTTTGTGGCTGACCCTGAGGCCCTGGCTACCATCCTGTCAGGTGAGGGGGTGAAGAGCTGGCGCCTGGGGCGCCAGCCCAGCCTGGCTCAGAGGGTACTGGTTCGAGAGAGCCAGGGAGGCACCATCCGGAGGGGCCAGGTAATGAGACGGAATACGAGGAGGTCAGGCTGGGGTGGACTGAGGAGGGATTCCTGAGCTGACGGCCTCTTTTGGGATTCCCAGGGTGCCCGGGCCTCTGCATATTTGGCTCCCAGAACCCCCCAAGCCCGACTGGACCCTGCCAGGGCTTCCTGCTTTTCGAGGCTAGAGGGACCAGGACCCCGCAGCTGGACCTTGTGCCCCCAGAAGCTAGAGGCTGTGGTGAGTGCCCGTGGGGGGCTGATCCTCAGTGTTTCTGGGAGCTCCTTCCAGGGGACATGGCTGGCCTTGGGAGAGAAGGCATCTCGTGATGACCCAAGGGAGGAGGAGGGGTCTGTGGAGGCAGATGGGGCTGGTGGTGAAGCCTGAAGGTTTGGGGCTCACCTCTGCCTATGCTTTTTCTCTTTTGCTTTTATGGGTCAGATTCCACCTTCAGGACCTTCCTTTCACTCCTCTGCTCGCCCCGGCTTCCAGGAGCTAAAAAGAGAGACAGGTGGCAGCAGCCGGTAAGAAGGAGGCGGTCATTTGGAAAAGGATGATCCAATGCTCCATATAGGGATCCCTCAGAGCTAGGGTTTTCCAGTAGTTTTAGGACTTCCCGCCAACCCAGGAGGGGAAGGGAGAGGTGGACCTGTGACTGCCCAGGTGAGCCCTTGGAACAGGATTCAGGCCTTGTCAGCCAGGCTTCAGTAGGACATCAGTTCCTTCCGGTTGTGGGGGAGGAAGGGTACAAAAATGAGAGGCGCTATCTCTTTTGATTAGTGGCTCAAGCACAGATTGTGGCAATAAATGGAATCTGGGTCTGATTCCTGACTCTTAGCAAACTTGCTAGTTGTACAAGCTTGCCTTAATCTCCACGCTTCAATTTTTTTTTTTTAATCTGTCAAATGAGGATAATGTTTGTGCCATCATTAGAAGTTGTGGTGAGAATTACGTGAGCTGATGTTTGTACAGCAGTTAGCACAGTGCCCAGCTCATACTTGATACCCAGTGACTTCTAGATGCTGCCCTTATTGTCATCAGGACTGCAGTGAGCCAGGCCTCGGGATTGCACCTGGAGACCCCAGCCCAGCCTGGTGAGTGAGTCTGGCCATGGGGAGAGAACAGGGGCAAGTGGGCTGTCTGCAGTGGGGATCAAGAGGGAAAAGCTCAGTGGGCTAGGGGGAAAGGGGCGAGGCCGGATCAGAAGGAGCTGGAGAGAAAGAGACCTTCTTGATAGGCCAGAGGTTGGCCCAGTTGCACTTTCATCAAAGGATGTGGTCCCTACCCTCTTCCTCCCACTTCCTACAAGAATTGCCTTCCACTCACTACTTTATCCTCAGCTCCTAAAAGCCATCAGCACCTCTGGAGCCCACTCAGGGTATTCAGATTATTAAGTGATTACTGAGGTATTAGATGGATCTCCACCCTTGATGGGGCAGTGAGGGCTGTCAAACTGATATGCCCTCTTTTGAGGTTGCAGAGCCCTTGCCAAACTCTGGTAGGTGTTCCAGGTTCTACAGAAATTTCCTATCTCCTCTTAGCTTCCTCTGTCCTGGAAGGAGAACACGAAGTAGTCACTCGCTCAGATGAAGAAGGAAGGGGCCCTCCTGGTCCGGCCCAGTGGGTTCCATTAAGAGAGAGCCGGGAGCTAACCCACACCAAGGTGAGACGGGACCCTTGTGGGAAGTGGGGCAGGGGAGAGGCCTGGGGAAATTCCCCAGCAGCAGCCAACGCTGAGGATTGTGGGTATAGCCAGGTAGTCCTGGGCTTCCGATGTTAATTGGAGCTGGGTTTGCTCCTGATGAGCCCACGCCCTCACAGAGAGGGACTGGCCTCTTGTTTACCAGGTGTCTGGGCCTGGAGATGAGAGGTCACAGTCTGGTGTATATTTGTGTCACCATCGGAACAGAGCAGAGAGATCTGACACTTGTCAGCCCATTCATTCCCATTCATTCATTCCATCACAGTATGAATTGAGAAGCTACTGTGTGCTAAGCACTGTCCTAGGTTCTGGATATACAGTAGCAAATAAATTCACATTCTACAAAGGGGAGGCAAAAAGTAAACACATTGTAAAATATATAGTGTATCAGATGGTGATAAGTTCTCTGTAATTAAATAAGGCACGGAAGTGGGGAGGTGATATTACAAATTCAAATCGATTGGTCAGGGGGATCTTATTGAGAAGATGACATTTACGCGAAGACCAGAGGAGCTAAGGGAATAAGCCATCCAGATATTTGGGAGGAGAGCTGCAGATGCAATGGCGCTGAGGAGGAAATATGCCTAGTTTATTTAAGGATCAGCGAGAAAAGGAGACCGGCAATTCTGAAGTGAGGAAGGAGAATGACAGGAAGTGAGGTCAGAGCAATTTTGGGATTGGACTGGGGAAGGATTCACAAACCAGGGCAAGACCTTGGATTTTACTTGGGATGAGTGGAAAGCCGTGGGGAGAGGGAGTGAACAAGGGAGCAACATGATTTGATTAAGTCTTAAAAGAATCACGCTGGCTGGCAAGACTGAGGAAGGCAAGGAAGGAGGGATCACTCTTCACCGTGTTCCTCCCCACAGGACAGCCGTGACTGCCACCCGATGCCCTCCCCTGGGCCTGTGCTGCTACCATCCGTCCCCCGTCCATCCCCCTTCGGATTGGCCAAGCGTGTTCCCTCCCCCGGCTCCTCAGCTCCGGTTCGCGTCCACAGCTCCTCGGGGCTGGGCAAGGGCAGAGCAGTCTGGCTGGGATCCCTGCTAGGTCTAGGCTTTGTCACTGCTCAGCCAACTCCTCTCTCCCCAGCCCTCATATTCAGTGTTGCGGCGTCTTGCCATTCGCCCCAAAACCCAGTTCACACCCATCCCATCGGCCCCCAAAGCTCAGCAGGTAAGAGAGGGCAGGGGAGGTGGCTGGTAGAGGAAGGGAATGGATGGGTATAGGAAGAGCTATGATATCTCACTTCTGTCCCAGGCTCCATGTTTGAGTGGCCTCTCTCCTCAGTCTTGCCCTGAAGAGCCTGCTCTGCCCTGGGTAAGTGCCCACGGCCTTCCCGTGCTGAAACCCCTCACTCTGTCCTGTGGGTCTGACAGTTTGTGGCAGGTGGGCTCTCTGGAAAGGCGACCTGCCTCTCCCTGCTTCTCTGCTGCCCCTCCTAATCTCAGTCTAGGGCCTCTCAGTTAGAAACCTGACCCCTTCCTCATGGGGGCGGGACTCAGGCAGGTCTTTCTGTCCTTACCAGGCTTCCTCTCAGGGCCCCTCTCTCTTCCCATGTGGCAGGAGCAGATTGCAGTCCGGCTGTTCGACCAGGAGAGTTGTAGAAGGTTACAGGAGGGGCCTGGAAAACTGCCTGCAGCAATGCCTCATGGACCCCAACCTAGTAGAACCCCAAACCTCCAAGAGCTGAAGATGCAGGTGGGTCTTTGTGGGCAACAGCTTGGATGCCTGATGGGCAGGGACAGGGCTGGGGAAGGGAGAAAGGGGAGGCGAAAGGGGGTATGGGAATAGGACGGTGTGGGCAGAGACTTGAACCCTCATCCTGACATCACACTGGGGTGTTCTCTCCCACACACAGCGCATCAGTATCCTGAAGCAGCTTTTGCAACAGGAGGTAGATGGGCTGGCAGGGAGCAAGTGTGTCCCTCCTAACGGAGGCTCCTCTCTGGATATGGCTGAACTTCAGTCCCTGCTGGCAGAGATTCCTAGAACTCCGAGTGGCCCAGAGCTGGATTCTGGGGCTTTCCGCCCTCCTGAACTGATACAGCACTCTGGACTGCCAATGCCCTGCCTTCCAGAGGAGGGTGGGGAACCGCAGCTGGGCCCTGGGGCAGAACCTGAGGCAGCTCAGCCCTGCCCTCCGGCAGAGCCAGGCCCCCCAGAGCCCTGCCTCAGGAGGGAGCCTGAGGTACCGGAGCCCACCCCCCAGAAACAGCCTGAGGTACCGGAGCCCACCCCCCAGAAACAGCCTGAGGTACCGGAGCCCACCCCCCAGAAACAGCCTGAGGTACCGGAGCCTTCCGCCCAGAAACAGCCTGAGGTACCGGAGCCTACCGCCCAGAAACAGCCTGAGATCCCGGAGCCCACCCCCCAGAAACAGCCTGAGGTACCGGAGCCCACCCCCCGGAAACAGCCTGAGGTACCGGAGCCCACCCCCCGGAAACAGCCTGAGGTACCGGAGCCCACCCCCCGGAAACAGCCTGAGGTACCGGAGCCCACCCCCCGGAAACAGCCTGAGGTACCGGAGCCCACCCCCCGGAAACAGCCTGAGGTACCGGAGCCTACCGCCCAGAAACAGCCTGAGATCCCGGAGCCCACCCCCCAGAAACAGCCTGAGGTACCGGAGCCCACCCCCCGGAAACAGCCTGAGGTACCGGAGCCCACCCCCCGGAAACAGCCTGAGGTACCGGAGCCCACCCCCCGGAAACAGCCTGAGGCGTCTGAGGCTCGCCCTCCCGTGGAGCCTGGACCCGTGCAGGCCTGCGCCCAGAGGCAGACCGGACTTCCAGAGCCCTCCCCTCGGGCAGAGGCAGAGGCAGAGGCATCAGAGCTCTGCCCTCTGGAGCCTCGGGGCACAGGGTCTAGTCCACAGTCCTGCTGCAGTCAATGGGCTCCAGCTCAGACCACCAGTGTGATCTCCTCTCAACGCCCACTTTGTGCCAGCCCCACTGTCCACTCACTCCAGTCTCTGAGGCCCCCGGCGGGCCAGGCAGGTGAGTGGTTGGTTGGAAGGGGCTGTGAACAAAGGAGGTCCTCATCTCGCTGGGAGCAGGACCTCCGCCCTGCACCAGGTGATCCCGGGCTGGCTTGCTTCCACCTACCTTGCCCAGCCTGGCTCTCCTTCCGGAAGTGGGAGGGGCTGGGCTCCAGTCCTGTGCTCCTAATTGGCTCGCCTCTTGGTGGGGGATGGAGAAAGGGCAATGTAAGGTGAGAGTAAGGAACTCCAGAGCTCACCGTGAACTCTGGCCCATGGACCCCCCCAGGCCCTAGCAATCTGGCTCCTCGAACCCTGGCCCTGAGGCAGCGCCTCAAAGCATGCCTGACCGCCATCCACTGCTTCCATGAGGTGCGCCTGGATGACGAGTGTGCCTTCTACACCAGCCGAGCCCCTCCCGCAGGCCCCTCTCGTGTCTGCACCAACCCTGTGGCCAAGTTACTGGACTGGCAGGATGCCCTGGTGAGCGCCCCCATCCACAGCCAGGCTGTGCCTGCACAGCCGGCCTGTGGGAAGGAGGAGGCAGAGCAAAGGGGCCAACCTTGGCTCCTTGATAAAGATTATTGGGGGAGCATTGGCTCAGTTCAAGGATGGCCGGACTGTTACAATGTCTTTCTCTCTCTCTCTCTCTCTCTCTCTCTCCAGTGTTTTATTCCAATTGGTGCTGCAGCCCCTCCGGACTCTCCCACATGAGGCGACCACTTCCACCCGTTCCTGCCCTAGCTTGACTCTTCCTTTTAGCCCTTATTTATTGTCGGACCACCCTATGGGATTGGGAGTCTGGCAGTGGACACCCTTTTATCCTTCAATAAAGTTTCTAAAGCGATCTGAGTGTCTTTCCCTCTGGCCTGACCGGGGCCAGCACCTGCTGTTGCTCTCCAGTTGCCCACGTGGTGGCAGTGTCCTCCAGCTTAGAGCCAGCTCTGGGCTGCCAGGATCCCCGGCTCCCTCACCTTAGGTCTGTCCTGAAGGGAAGAAATCATCCCACTCTTGTTCACCCCACCCACTCAGCAAGCTCTGTGAGTGTGGGGGCAACACTCATTGTCCCCTTCGGTCACCTGTTTGTCTCCCTGGTTCTTAAGATCAGTGCCACTTCCAGGAGCCACCAGCCACGTCTTCATCCCCTAGAGATCCTCTTAGAACCTTCCCTGCATCAGACAGAACACCGCACACTAGACCCATATCCTTGCCACCTGGCTGGTGTCACTGGTTGGTGTCTCCCTCCAGGGTGAGGCCGGAAGCTCTCCTGAAGCTCCTGCCGCTCCCCTCCCTCTTCCCACCTCACAGCGGAAGCCCTGGGCTACGCCCCTCGCCCCTCCTCCAGAGGCAGGCTGGCGGGGAAGAACTAAGCTTTTGCCTCAGGCAGGGTGGGTGGGTGAGAGGAGAGTGGGTAAGGGTCAGCCCTCTGTCCCCACTCTGTGCACCAGTTAAGAGGCACACACGTTCTCTAATGTCACTTTATTGGAAGAGGCAACAGCAGCCCAGATGGAGGTGACATGGGGACTGTACAGAATGGACTTTAAATGCGAGGAAAGAACTCACTGGTTCCTCCCGTTCACAAAAAGGCTGCCAAGGCAGGAGCCTGGAGCCTGAGAAAGGGGGGATGGCCAGAGAGGTTTCATGACAGAGGACCAGTGCCTACCCAGTCCCAACATCTCCCACCTCGATGAACTTCTATCTCTGTTCCCCCTCCTACAATGCCAGGTCTGGCTATGAGGCTGTTCCCCAGCTCCCAGCGGGAGAGAGGGCCACAGCCTCCGCCCTCCCTCCTCAGACCCGCTTCCGCAGGATGCGGTGGTCCGCTCCCCAGCCACTAAGTCCTGGAAGCACCGAGAGAGACTGCCCAGCAAGGCCTCCTCCGGGAGCAGGCAGGTCCACCCCACAGCCAGGCTCTCAAAGGATGGGTGGCACTGTGGGTGGGGCCAACTGAAGGTGGGCGAGGAGGGAAGAGGAGAAAAGGGCGAGCGAGGGGGTAGAGGAGGGGGCCGGCTCAGTCCGGGTAGATGATGAAGCCAGAGAAAGTGCTGTACTTGTTGGTGTTCCCGCCGTGCACCTTCCCGCCGTCCAGCTTGATGAAGACTTCGTCGCCCACGTCCAGGTGCAGGATGACGCTGTTGCTGGCGTAGTCGTAGTTCTGGTCTGCGTCCTGGGCAATGGCGCTGGCCCGGACCTATGCAGAGAGAGCAGAACAACCCCCTCACTCCCTTTGCGGAGCTGGGGTGGTGAGCGGGCCGGGCGGAGTAAGTGCAGCGGGGCCTGGGAAAGCTGGGGCAGGGGCTGGGGTGGGCAAGGAGAGGCCAGGAGACCGCAGAGCTTCTCAGGCACGAGAGTCTCACTAGCTGTGTGACTCTGGCAGCTCTCATACCTTCTCTGGTCCTCAATTTGAGCGGAAGGTGAAGGTAATAATTGAGCCTACCCCAAATAGTGACTACATGTGAAGTGTATTAGAACAGTGCTTTGCACATAGAAAATGCTATAGGGCCTTGCTATTATTATTATCGTGTAAGAAATAAAATTACTCTGTAATTTCTAGGGTAATTTCTAAGATTCTGAACCCCCTCTGGCCTCCTAAACTTGCATTCCTATCCCCAAGCGTTAGGACAGAGGTGTGTCCTTGCGTATCAAGGGTGCGGGCCTTAAATGGGAAGGTGCAATGATGCATTCATGCCTTGGGGTGCCCCTTCCCCTTTAGTTCCCTCCAGCGCACCCAGAGGGGTCGCCTTCTTCCCCATCAGGTGGCCCCTTCTCCTCGCTGGTCTCCCTGTTGCTGCCGTTCACCTCCAGCTGCCAGCCCGCCACGAACGCCCCTCTTCCTATCCCGCAGGGGCTGGTTATTAACTCATTAATTATTCATCATTATTCTAATCACTATTTACTGTCCTCAGGGCCCGCAGCGCCCGCGCAGTGCAATTCTGAGTGGGAGCCACGCAGCCCTGGCCCCCTCAGAAACCGGCACACTCTGCATACACATTGCCTCTTCCCCCCCCTCACAGACAGCCCCGCCACCACTGCAGAGACAACACACCTACTCAGGGCCACATGCAAATAGACAGGCTCTTTGTTCACACCTTTGCACCAGCCCAAGCACCCAAAGACACACTCAGATCAACACCCACTCACTTGCACACATAATCTGTCTCATACGGACAGAGACACACGTACACTCTCACTCCCTTTCCCTGGGTTCCCAGGCGACCCTGCTGGGAGGAGCCCCCAGGGCAGAGCCTGCGGGCCTCGCAGCAGGAGGGGCTTTCCCACAGCCAGGATGAGCAGGCCTGATGCAGCACGACACCCCCTCTCCCCGCGTGTGGGGGGAGGGAGCATTCAGAGGTCACCGCTAAGTCTCCACCTTACGCCCAGGCACCTACACAAACCCCTACGCCTGAGGCCTCGAGCTAAGCCAAGGCAGCAGTGACTCTGGCTCTGACCACAGGGACAGGGAGCAGCAGGACCCGGAGGCCAGAGGTTGCCAGGGAGGATGTGTGGCCTACTGGGCCAGATCCTCCCTTCTCCGCTTTGCCTCTCCTCCTCCAAACCCGCCCTTTGCCTTTTTCCTTCTCCAAATCCGTTCCTTCACGCTGCCTGGCTAATATACCATTTCTTGCCTCTGACCACTGACTCAGTATTAGCTGAGTGTAATTGGTCCTAGGCCCTGGGACCAGCCATAGAGCTGGTGGTAAATGAGCCAGGATTTTCCTTCCTTTTTACTTTTTCCTTAAAAAAAAAAAAAAAAAAAAAAAATCCAAGCTGAATGCCCCCCATGGGAACACCTGCCTACTGTGCACTGCCCGGGACCTGGCATTCATGGAGAAGGGGCTGGGCTGTGTGCTGAGAGTGCAGGGAGATTTAAGAAAGCTGCTTGGCGAGTCTGAGGTTGGTGGGTGAGGGGGCATCTCACCTGCCCGTTTTTCATCAGGTCTGCCCACATGCTGGTGCCGTCGCCGCCGCGCATGAGCACATGGTACGCGAAGAAGTAGACGCCGGGCATGGGGCAGGTGAACTTGCCGCTGGCCGCCTCGTAAGCATTGCCCACGTTGGTCACCACGTCGTCGAAGCGCAGCACCTCGTAGCCCTCGTGGGGCCGCCGCAGGCCCGCGTAGAAGGCGATGCGAGGCACGTAGCCGGCAGGGAGCGCCACCCCGCCGGGGCCTGGGCCAGGGGGGCCTGGGGGGCCTGGCCTGCCCGGCTCTCCCGGAGGCCCTCTGGGCCCTGGTGGCCCCGGGGGCCCTCGAAGACCCGCCCTCCCCCGCCGGCCCACCTCTCCCTTGGAGCCCGGCGGGAAGGGGGGCGCGGAGACCGGCGCGCCGTCGGGTCCCGGGCCCCGAGCCCCGTGCGGGTCGCACACCATGCGACAGCGACCCAGCATCTCGTAGTGCGCTGGCCCGCGGGAGCTGTGCACCAGCAGCGGGATGGCCACCAGCAGCAGCAGCACCATGGCCACCCCGACGGCCGCGCCCGCCACCCGCTTGCGGCGGCTCAGACGCGACGCCGCCAGGGCCAGCAGGTCCTCCTCGCTCTTGGGCGCAATGGCGTCGGAGAGGCTCGGAGCTCTTGGAGGGCCCCCGAACCGGCCGGTGGCCGGGCTCGCGCCTGGGTCGGGACCCCCTGGCAGCTGCACCCGAAGCCCCCCTCCCGCCCCTGCGGGCTCCCGCCTCCGCGGTGCGGCTCCCCAAACCTTCCGGCGAGGCAGGCGAAGGTCCCGCCTGGGCTGGGGCAGGGGCAGCTCCGGGCGATTCAGCGCCGGGGGTCCTATGTTCACCCCCTGCTCAGCCTATCGCTCCCGGGAGCCTGGCATCTGCTGCTTCTCTGACAGCTGGCTTCTTACAGGTCTAGGATGCTCGCTCGCTGGACAGCTTCTTCCTCAGGGATGGCGGAGCCGAGGTTCCCAGCCACCCGGACGGATCTCTCCCGGCCGGAGAGGGGACTGCTCTCCGCGCTCTGGACGTCCCGGGCTCTGCGCCCGGGGTGGCACCCACCGGACACGATCTCCTCCTAGGTTTGCGCTCTCTCTACCTCTTGGCGAGCACGGATCCACCTTCCTCCCCCAGCTGCGGCCTCAGCCCAGGTGCTGGAGCCCTGGCCCCGCGTGTCCCTCCGGGAACGGGCTCCCTGTCTGCGTCTCTAACCTTCCTCTGCTCCCTCCCGGGGCGGCAGGGACTGTGGTGTGAGCAGCCTGGCGCCGGGAGCCGCTGTGCGCGGCCCGGGGCGGAGCGACCCCTGGCGCCCAGAGCGGGAAACGCGGGGGCGGGGCAGGCAGCGGCCCCCGCCCGCGGACCCCCGCCTCACGGTGGATGCCCCGCTCCCGGCGATTCTGCACGGGGTCACTGTTCCCACCTATCCTCACTTTCACCCTCTACCCCGAGATGGGTATTCCCGGAGCCCAGAGGAAGCCAGAAAATAGCGATGGGATAAAAAAGGGTCGAGATACACAAGATACACGGAGAAAAGACAGATGGATTCCTGAGCTAAAAAGAGCCACCTGCCCCCAAGAAAAAAATAAAGAAAAATTAAAATAAAATATAGCAAGCAAACGAGCAAAAGGGGTGGGGGGAAAGAAATTCACCACCCCATACCCCCCAGTACCCATAACCAAATATCATGTGGTAAAGGGTTCAACGGTACATTTTGTTTTGAACTAGAAAAGGCAAATCTCCTGGCACGGTGCCCTCGACCCCCCAGCACTGGGAGCACAGAGCCGCAAAGAGGGAATGAGAAAACAAAACGGAGGAGCCTGTGGAAGCCAGCAGGAATCTGACAAGAAGGCAGGAGGAGCGACAGAAATCAAAGAGACAGAAAGCCAGATAGAGACGCAGAGACAGAGACAAAGCTTGGAAAAGAGACTAACTGACAGCCCCAGAGGGGGAGAGGGAGAGACAGAGACGGGGAGGGAGAGAGAGAGACAGGAGCCGAGACAGGTTGACAGATCGAGAGAGAAATGTAAATGGTGCGCTGCAGAGAGACACCCAGGTCCGTGTTTGGACTCCAATGTGACATATCAACGGTGGGGAAGACGTGGGGGCAGGGCGGGCCCTCAGCAGAGGGGTAGGCTGCCGGCCTGTGCATTGTGACAGTCGCTGGCAGGTGTGGACGGGGGATGTAGCCACGGGACCCTGGCCTTGTGTGTCCCCGGGTGAGTTGGGGTTGCAGATTGTTTTGTCCTGGTGTGTGTGTTGTGAGGGCTATGTGAAGAGAGGTTTTGTATTTGTCTTCCTCTTAGTCCTTAAATGTGGGACCCTCTGAATGCCATCTCTCCCGTCTCGGAGGAGTGGAGTCCACTGGGGAGAAGGGTCAGCAGGCAGCTCTTGTCCCTTCCCCTGTCCAGCCCAGCCTAGTTCCAGCCCTGCCTAGTCCCCGATTTTTGTCCAGCCCTAGGATCCCCTCCCCCTTCCTTCCCCCTTCCTCACAGGTCTGTGGTTAGATAGAAAGCCAGAGAAGTTGGACCCCACATAATAAATGTTTGGAGGAGGGGTTGGAAGCTGGTTTTACAAATTAACATAACCAAAATGCAGATTAAGTTCTAGACAGCCTCCTGTGAGAGATGACTGTATCTGGCACTCCGGGGGCCCAGAGGGAACGCAGGCTTGGATAGCTCCTCTCTGAGAGGGGTCAGTCCAGGGAAGAGGCTAGTGGCTGCATTCCCCCTTAGGGCCAGGCCCTTCTGGGGGAGATTACTTGCTTACAGAGACCCCAGAGGCATGGAGAAGAAGCTCTAGGACTGGCAAAGTGGGGAATGTTTGAAGACCCTGAAGGTGGACAGCTGCAGAGGACTTCCTAGAGTCTGGGATAGGCCAGGACTGTGATGTATAGGAAAGTGATGTGTAAAATGGAGGGCACAGAGCACACCAGGGCATGCGTATTGGGTGAAGGTGATATCCGCATTTCTTCTTTACCGTACCCCTTTCCTGCCTCCCCCAGCCCAGAATGTATAGGGAAGAAGAGGTTGCTGAGGGTGGGCCTGTGTGGAGAGGGCCCCTACATGCCTGAGAGGGTTGGGAGAGAGAGAATTGGCAGTCAGTGGGGGAGGGGCCTCCTCCTCCAACCATAAATACAAATTTTATTCAAGGTCTTTGTGGCCATTTGTCTTCCTGGGGGTGGGGGCAGGGTAGGGGGTGGCTGAGGGCCATGTTGGGGCTGTGCATGTCTAATTCCAGATCTGCTCCCCCAGGCTGGATGATGGATGGGTCAGAGAGAAGAGAGCAGGTCAGGGCTCACACCAGCCTCTCCGGCCTGATCCTCAAGCCCCATCAACCCCAGGTCCTGCCACTCCTCTCCTTTCTCCTCCCCACTCCCTCCACTCACCTGAGGCAGTCTTTGCTCAGCCCTGCTCCCCTCCCCACTCGACCCACCACGACCCTCTTTTGGAGCCCCTCACCTCAGCCCTCTTCTCCCTGGAGCTCCCCGCCTCCGCCCATCCCCAGCCCAGGCTACGAGCTGCTGCGTGAGCTGCTGCGTTGACCGGCAGGCTGCAGGCTGCAGGCGGTGCGGGTGTGTGTGGCGGGGGGAGCAGGCTTGGCTCACAGGGAGCAGAGGGGCCAGCTCCATGAATTTATTCATGTTCTGTTGCTCTTTCCCCACGCTCCGCTCCGGAATGAAGCTGCCAGCTCACTAGGTCCTTATTTCTTCCCCTGCAGCTGTCACAAGGAGGGATCTGGGGAGGGTCAAGGCCAGTGCTCCTGAGGCCAAAAGCCAAGTGTCTGGGTTCAAGAGGAAATTCTGGGGCCCAGGCTGGGACCTGGGGTTATTTCCCCAGAGCTTTTGGGAAACCAAACTAGAGGCTCCAGGGAGGTGATATGGCTGGGAAGGGGGGTAGGCAGAGAAGGCTGTGCTACAGGACATAGAAGGAGCAGGGGAGGTGGGGACGAGGCTGATGGAGGAGAAGAGGAGAGAGGAAGCCTGAAGGGGTTCCTGGGCTCCCTCTATAAAAGCACAGTCTAGCCTGAATCTTGCCTTAACCTCCACCCTGACTCTGCACTAATCCTGACCCTAGTCCCAAATTACACACTCAACTCCTTTCCAATCCTAATATGAATCCTAACTCCATAACCTCACCCTAAAGGGATCCCCTCCCCACTGGTCCCATCCTGGAACCCAGGAGTCTCTCAAGAATTCCCCCAGGGCTTACAGCCAGGTGTGCCTCAGAGTTCTGAGGACCAGACTTTTGATTAGCATGTGATTAGCATATTATTTGAATGTAATATGTGCCTTCTACTCTGTGGAAGTTTTCATGTTAAAATTTTATGAAGTCTAGCAGAAAGGTCCTGGCTTCTTGAAGGTTCTCTCTTTCTATTCCCTTTCCCACACTCCTAATCACTGATCCCCATGCCCTCCAGGGGGAAAAAGGGGCTGAGGAGATGAGCAATAAAGGGCACATGGGAGGGAAGATTCTGGCAGTGTAATCAGCTCTTGTCATTGCAGTGTAACCTCCCCAAGCCTCAGTTTCCTTATCTGTAAGAGGAGAGGAACCAGCTGGCTGATGTTACAATAAGATCTAAGGAAGCACTCTTTCCTTCCTCACCTTTTAGAGTCATCCATGGTGTGGTTCTCTCTCCCCACCCCATACACACGCTCTGGCTTTCAGCTCCCACATCTAAGATGACACAGGATTGGAAGCGGCTTGGGTTGCCTGGTACTAGACCCTTGACAAGAAGAGAAAGGAACATTGCCTGCCTGTTAGCATCGAAGAGGAAATGACATTATTGAGTGTTTCCTGTGTGTTAGGGCTTTTACAGGCAAGTTCTCATTGCATCCTCGCAGGATGCTGAGAGGTGAATATGTTGTTTCCATTTTTACAGATGAGGAAACTGGGGTCCAGAAAGGAGAAATGGCTTGTCCTAGATAGCCCATAAGTTGCAGCACTGACACGGATTCTCATTTCCTGGCTTCCTTGTCAGTGCCCTGGAGAAGAGAAGAGGCAGGGGAAGGGTGAGAAAAGCAGGCCAGGGAGCGAGATTTGAACTCCTGTGGAAGGGGAGATCTGCATGTGAAGCCCACAGGCCAGGCACTTGGCTCAGCACAGTCCCCATCTCCAACCGCCAGCCCTGTGGAGACTGACTGACACCCAATGGGTGTTCAGTGTCCAGCTAACAGATGTCAGTGTACATTGGCTGCGGGAAAGAGCTGTTCAGAGGGAGAAGAATGTGAAGCCAGCCTGAGGGAAATGGGCTCAAGAGGTGAAAGGGAGAAAGAACCGGCCAAGAGGACTAAGGACCGCTCTCCCACTCCCACCTCCAGTGGGAAAACAGTCACGGCCCCAAGAGCATGCACGCACTTTGCACAGAGGATCCACTCATCTGCCACTGGAGCCCCTCGACCCGCAGCTCTGCGGCGCAGCCTTGGGTTCAAAGAACAGCGCCAGCGCCCGGAGGGCAGGGGAGGACCCCAGCCCCGCAGGGGGCGGATAGTCACTGCCTCTAAGGTGTCTGTCAGGCCGAAGCCGCTGCAGACTCCCTTCTGCAGCCCTTGAGTCCTGACCAGGTGCAGCTCCTCGCCCTAACCTCCCTCGCCACCTCCTTTTTCCATTCCCTCATCCCCAGTCCCCACCGTCCTCCTGCCCAGCCACCCGTTAATGAAATGAGGAGGGAGGCTGCACAGACAGCTGTCAGACCCCTCAATTCTCCGCTGGGATATTGGATCCCGCGCTGGGAGACCGGAGACCGACAGGTGAGCAGAGGAGGGGCTGTGGGGGCCGAAGGAGGGGTGCTT